CATCAGGAGCTATTTGAAGCCTATTAACCCTCTATAGTCAACTAAACATTCCCCGTTGCAATTAAAACTAATGCTGAAATTTTACCAAAATTGTTTTTTTTTTTTTGTGGTGGTGGAGGGGGGAGTAAATAATCTATCAGTTTCACTCTTTTGTTTTCCAAAAAAACAGGTCCAAGATAGTTGAAAGGAACTTTTGTAACCCTCAGGAGTTTATTTAATTCAAATATTTGTGCTTTTTTTTTATTTGTATCTGATTATTGTTTGTGCACTGTCACTTTATATTTTTAATTGAACTCTTTTTTTTTTCGCCTTCAGTTTAAAAAATTAAGATATTGGGGCATTGTGTTTGCCAAAGGAACAGACCCAGGATAGTTGAAAGGAGCTTCTGTCACCATCAGGAGCTATTTGAAGCCTATTAACCCTCTATAGTCAACTAAACATTCCCTGTTGCAATTAAAATTAATGCTGAAATTTTACCAAAATTGTTTTTTTTTTTTTGTGGTGGCGGAAGGGGAAGTAAATAATCTATCAGTTTCACTTTTTTGTTTTCCAAAAAAACAGGTCCAAGATAGTTGAAAGGAATTTTTGTAACCCTCAGGAGTTTATTTAATTCAAATATTGTGCTTTTTTTTTTTTATTTGTATCTGATTATTATTTGTGCACTGCCACTTTATATTTTTAATTTACTCTTTTTTTGTTCGTCTTCAGTTTGAAAAATTAAGCTATTAGGGCATTGTTTTTGCCAAAGGAACAGACCCAGGATAGTTGAAAGGATCTTCTGTAACCATCAGGAGCAATTTAAAGCTTATTTCCCCTCTGTAGTAAACTAAACATTCCCCGTTGCAATTAAAACTAATGCTGAAATTTTACCAAAATTGTTTTTATTTTGGGGGGGGGGGGGGTAAATAATCTGTCAGTTTCATTCTTTTGTTTTCCAAAAGAACAGGTCCAAGATAAGAAAGGAACATTTGTAACCCTCAGGAGCCATTTAAAGCCTATTGCATCATTCTAGCAAACTAAGCTTTCAGCATTGCATTTCAAAATAATGGTGACATTTTATCCAAATTTGTTTGGGGAAAAATCGCTTAGCTTCACAATTTTTTGCCAAAAGAAAAGGTCCAGGATAGTTGGATTTAGGTTTTGTAACCATCAGGAGCCATGTAAAGCCTATTGTACCCTTATAGTCACCTAAACCTTCCCCGTTGCATTTCAAAATAATGGTAAAATTTTACCAAAATTTTGCAGGGGAAAAAAATCACCCAGTTTCACAGGTCAAGGTTAGTTAAAAGGAGGTTTTGTAACCCGCTTATTACCCCCTTATAGCCACCTAAACCTTCCCCATTGGGTTTCAAAATAATGGTGAAGTTTCATTAACTTTTTTTGAGGAAAAATCTCTCAGTGTCACATTTTTTATTGCCAAAAAAACAGGTCCACTTTTGAAATAAACTTTTGTAACCCCCATAAACCATTCAAAGCCTATTGCATCATTCTAGCTATCTACACCTTCTTCATTGCATTTCAAAATAAATTTTGCGATTTACCAAATTTGGTGCAATTTTACCAAAATTTTGCAGGGAAAACAACATCTCTCAGGTTCACATTTTGTTTTTGCAAAAAGAACAGGCCCATTATAGTTGAAAGGAGCTTTTGTAACCCCCCAGGAGCTATTTAAAGACTATAGCATCATTCTAGCCACCTTCCCATTGCATTTCAAAATAATGGTGATATTTGACCAAACATTTTTTGGGGAAAAAAAATCTCTAATTTTCACTATTTCTTTTGTTGCCAAGAATAGTTGAAAGGAGCTTTTGTAACCCTCAGGAGCAATTTAAAGCCTATTGCCACCTAAACCTTACCCATTGCATTTTGAAATATTTTGGAAATTTTACCAAAATTTTAGAGAAATAAAATCTTTCAGTTCACAAATTGATATGTACCATGTTAGCCTTTGATAGAAGTAAGGTGATATAGAGTTGAACTATACTGTTTTTTAGCTAACAAAGTAGACTAGTATGGGAATCTTTCAAACTAGAGCAGCCCTCAAGCTTACTTACTCAAATTTGTATTAGAAGTTTGTTCAGTTGGCCAAGGGAAGATATTGGAATCTATACAGATATCAAGATTTTGGGTAACAGGTAACAGATCAAAATAAGAGTTGCCTGCCATCCATCCCTCACTGTGACCTCAAAACAAACCACGCCATAGTCATCATGGAAGATATGTTGGTTGTCCGTAGCATGGGTCACATCTCCTTTTTCTTCATTCAGCCAGTAAAAGTTAGGCAATGAACATTGGGATCTGCTTTGGGAAGTAGTTGGGTTGCCTGCATTTGAAATTAAGAGACAACATAGGGGTCTGGTGAGGAAGGGGCTATTACAAAACAGAAATTATTATTATTATTATACAGGATTTACATTAAATTTGGGAATATTCCATTGGTTTTTTTTTGTAGTCATCAGTTGAGGGCTGTGTGACGTCTGTGGGAAACTTGAAAACCATCTTTGCTAACTTCCTAAATGGAGTTGTACCACTTAAAAAAAAGTGTTGTTGGTACAATCTACCGATTGGCTGTGCTAAACTAGTTGAACGCCATTCATCCTCCATCCCCTCTACTTTCCATACAATGGTATAGCTGCACTGACCAAGTGAATTAGGCATTTCAATAAACTTTATTGCATAGCAGTAGAAACAGACATCTCACCAGCTCCTTCACTTTGATGCCTTCCCTCTGCCCAGGGGTTTAATTGTCGATTCACAAATATACAAATAGGCCCTTGGGTGGGGTGAAATGCATTGCTGGCAGGTTATATGGTTCCACTACTGTGCAAAAAAGCTTCTTGAAACGTCTGGCTTACATGGTCATTGTGCCCATTCCATTATATAGGATTCGTGAACACGGAAAGGTCTCTTCACAGTAAGAGCTGTGAAAGTGTGGAATAGATTCCCTCAAGAGTTGGTTGTGGCCAGCTCAGTGGATTGCTGTAGGAAAGTCCTGGATTCTTTCTTGGATATACAGAATATAACTGTATAGAACATTTATAGGGAAAGTTGATCCAGGGAATATCCGATTGCCTCTCGGGGGATCAGGAAGGAATTATTTCCCCTGCAGGAGCAAATTGGATCATGCTCTGCTGGGTTTTTTTTTGCCTTCCTCTGGATAAACTGTGGGTGTAGGATTATTATTATTTTTTTTTTTTTAATAGTTGAACTGGATGGACTTTTGTCTTTTTTCAGCCAGACTATCTATGTACCTATGTAACACCACACAAAGTTTTGCTGAGTATGTCATAGATCAGGGGTCTCCAAACTTTCGAAACAAAGAACCAGTTTACTGTCCTTCAGACATTAGGTGGGCGGACAGTCACCAGTTGGAGTAGAAAATGCCCCAGCATCAGTGAATGTAAACAAATATTCAATAGAGAAGATGGGACTTTCAGGGTGCATGAACATGAATACCAAACATATTAAAAAGCTATATCATTTTTATTTCATATTTTTTTTAAAAAACAAAAAAAGGAAAAAACACAGAAACATAAAAAAAATTTCACTACTAAGAGTGGAACTGAGATTATATAATTGTAGTTACTCCCTACATGTTTCGTCCTCCTGGGCTTCTTCAGGGGTGATTTTTGAAGAGATTTCAACCGCCGAGGCAGTCTAAAGGTATATTATTATTATACAGGATTTATATTGCGCCAACAGTTTGCACAGCGCTTTACAATATAAAGGAGACAGGACAATTACAATACCTTTCAGTACAGAAGGAATGTGAGGGCCTGGCTCGTGGAGCTTACAATCTAAAGGAAGGGGGGAGGTATATCAAAATGAATTATACAATTACCAAACAACTTTAATATATCCAATACAAAGTATTTAATCAAATATATATATGGGACTCAATGGCTCACCCTGGATGTGAAAGCTCACAGATCTAAGGAAATCATTATTCAAATTATTTTTGTAACTATGTACCGTATTTTTCGCTCCATAAGACGCACCTGACCATAAGACGCGCCTAGGTTTTAGAGGAGAAAAACAAAAAAAAAAAAAATATTCTGAACCAATGGACTGCAGACACAGTACAGGGGATGACCAGAGACTGCGGACATAGTACAGGAGATGACCAGAGACTGCGGACACAGTACAGGAGATGACCAGAGACTGCAGACATAGTACAGGAGATGGCCAGAGACTGCGGACACAGTACAGGGGATGACCAGAGACTGCGGACATAGTACAGGAGATGACCAGAGACTGCGGACACGGTACAGGAGATGACCAGAGACTGCGGACACAGTACAGGAGATGACCAGAGACTGTGGACACAGTACAGGAGATGACCAGAGACTGCAGACATAGTACAGATGACCAGAGACTGCAGACATAGTACAGGAGATGACCAGAGACTGCGGACACCGTACAGGATGACCGGAGACTGCGGACATAGTACAGGAGATGACCAGAGACTGCGGACACAGTACAGGGGGATGACCAGAGACTGCGGACACAGTACAGGGGATGACCAGAGACTGCGGACATAGTACAGATGACCAGAGACTGCAGACATAGTACAGGAGATGACCAGAGACTGCGGACACAGTACAGGAGATGACCGGAGACTGCGGACACAGTACAGGAGATGACCAGAGACTGCAGACATAGTACAGATGACCAGAGACTGCAGACATAGTACAGGAGATGACCAGAGACTGCGGACACAGTACAGGAGATGACCAGAGACTGCAGACACAGTACAGGAGATGACCAGAGACTGCGGACACAGTACAGGAGATGACCGGAGACTGCGGACACGGTGCAGAAGATGACCAGTGACTGCAGACATAGTACAGATGACCAGAGACTGCGGACATAGTACAGGAGATGACCAGTGACTGCAGACACAGTACAGGGGATGACCAGAGACTGCGAACGCGGTACAGGGGATGACCAGAGACTGCGGACGCGGTACAGGGGATGACCAGAGACTGCGGACACAGTACAGGAGATGACCAGAGACTGCGGACACAGTACGGGGGATGGCCAGAGACTGCGGACACAGTACAAGAGATGACCAGAGACTGCAGACACAGTACAGGAGATGACCAGAGACTGCGGACACAGTACAGGAGATGAACGGAGACTGCAGACACAGTACAGGAGATGACCAGAGACTGCGGACATAGTACAGGAGATGACCAGAGACTGCGGACATAGTACAGGGGATGACCAGAGACTGCGGACATAATACAGGAGATGGCCAGAGACTGCGGACATAATACAGGAGATGGCCAGAGACTGCGGACATAGTACAGGAGATGGCCAGAGACTGCGGACACAGTACAGGGGATGACCAGAGACTGCGGACATAGTACAGGAGATGGCCAGAGACTGCGGACATAATACAGGAGATGGCCAGGAGACTGCGGACACAGTACAGGGGATACCAGAGACTGCGGACATAGTACAGGAGATGACCAGAGACTGCGGTCATAGTACAGGGAATGACCAGAGACTGCGGACACAGTACAGGAGATGGCCAGAGACTGCGGACACAGTACAGGGAATGACCAGAGACTGCGGACACAGTACAGAAGACCAGAGACTGCAGACAGTGCAGGGGATGGCCAGAGACTGCAGACAGTAAAGGAGATTACCAGAGACTGCAGACCTTTGGTGAGGGAGGGGGAGCGGGTACCTGAATTTGACAGGTACCCGCTCCCACTTCCGCGGAGTTGTCCTTCCTTCTTCTTCCCGCGGCGGCTTCTGTGACAGCCGGGTGCCCACTGCGCATGCGCGAGAAGCGCTGCGCTTTGTGAATGGCCCGGAGCCTTTTGAGACCTGTCATGTGTCCCAGAAGACACAGACCATTCACAAAACGCAGCGCTTCTCGCGCATGCGCAGTGGGCACCCGGCTGTCACAGAAGCCGCCACGGGAAGACTGTGCAGCGCGCTGGAGCGAGGAACAGGAAAGGTCCTGCAGGAGAGAAGAGCTGAGCGGCCGGCCCGGTATTCTGACATGGTGGCGGCAGAAATACCGGACCGGCCGCTTTACATTCGCTCCATAAGACGCACTGACATTTTCCCCCCTTTTTTTGGGGTGAAAAAAGTGCATCTTATGGAGCGAAAAATCCGGTAATTGTTAGGAGAATTGTTGGTATAGATTTCTACTCACTTTTGAGATTATAGCATCACCTTTCTAGCAGTCCACCTCAGTACTCCTGATTAAAGCTCCAGTTCTTACCTCTCCTCTGGGATTTGATGAGCTGGGGGCTCTAGATGCAGTCCATCCTTTATGAGCAGATATATCTGAAGAGCGATCTACCATGAAAGTATGATGTGACCAGCTGGACCTTCAGCACCTGGGCCAGTCAGCATCTCTATGAACACCAAAGAGCATTGATTTTATTTTTCATTTTTTTTTTTTAAGTACATTCCCTTTTCTCAATGCAATGTTGTGGTTTTTTGTTTGTTTGTTTTGTTGTTTTTTTTTTTTTTTTTTTTAACCAAGATATAAATGTGAAATTTTTTTCATTGCCAGAGCTTTTCTATTTTTCTTTGCCCATATGTTACAGGGCAAACGAAGCAACATGTAAAGAGCAATCTGGGATGCTGGCATGCAAAATGAATACATTGTCTCCTCTGAATTTCTAAATATAATTCATATACACACACAAAAAAGAAAGTCTGTCCATATTGTACTGGATAAGGCTGCTGTATATGGAGCTGCCAGCTCTCCAGTTTGTTCCATTTGAAATTTGATAACCACTCAGATTATAAGAGCTGGAAAATTCATAGATACGAGCAATCTTATAGAGGACACATGCCTTTTATATCATTAGAGAGCGGTGACATCACTGAGAATGCAGCCTATCCATTCACTAGAGAGCGGTGACATCACTGAGATTGCAGCCTATCCATTCACTAGAGACCAATGACATCACTGAGAATGCAGCCTATCCATTCACTAGAGACCGATGACATCACTGAGAATGCAGCCTATCCATTCACTAGAGACCGGTGACATCACTGAGAATGCAGCCTATCCATTCACTAGAGACCGGTGACACCACTGAGAATGCAGCCTATCCATTCACTATGGGACTGGTGACATCACTGACAATGCAGCCTATCCATTCACTAGAGAGAGGTGACATAACTGAGAATGCAGCCTATCCATTCACTAGAGAACAGTGACATCACTGAGAATGCAGCCTATCCATTCACTAGAGGCCGGTGACATCACTGAGAATGCGGCCTATCCATTCACTAGAGATCGATGACATCACTGAGAATGCGGCCTATCCATTCACTAGAGACCGGTGACATCACTGAGAATGCGGCCTATCCATTCACTAGAGACCGGTGACATCACTGAGAATGCAGCCTATCCATTCACTAGAGACCGGTGACATCACTGAGAATGCGGCCTATCCATTCACTAGAGATCGATGACATCACTGAGAATGCGGCCTATCCATTCACTAGAGACCGGTGACATCACTGAGAATGCGGCCTATCCATTCACTAGAGACCGGTGACATCACTGAGAATGCAGCCTATTCATTCACTAGAGAGTGGTGACATCACTGAGAATGCAGCCTATCCATTCACTAGAGAGCGGTGACATCACTGAGAATGCAGCCTATCCATTCACTAGAGAGCGGTGACATCACTGAGAATGCAGCCTATCCATTCACTAGAGAGCGGTGACATCACTGAGAATGCAGCCTATCCATTCACTAGAGAGCGGTGACATCACTGAGAATGCAGCCTATCCATTCAAGTGGGCTGGATAATGCAAAATATAAAACTGAAATTAAACTGTTAAATTGATTTTGAAACATTTTAGAGGCCAATAAACATGATTCTCATGATAGTAAAAGAAGCTCAAGACTTTTTTTTTAACAAAATGACTCCAAGTAATTAGAACACATTGGGTGGTGTGTGTTGTCGAGAGTTTCTGCTGGCAGATGGCACCTCCGTTTTATTTCGGGGCAGTTCAGCTGTTTTTTTCCTGAACCCCCCCCGCTTTACCTTCGTTCCCGGGGTCTGGCCCTGAGTGAGAAGGAGCCCTTGTCTGTACATTTCATCGTCGTGCTGCTCTTCCCTCTCAGGGGTGGGAGATCTCTCTCTGTGTTGGCTCGGTTTCTACTTTGTTGAACGTTTTTTTTTTTTTTTTTTTTTTTGTGTCCTTTTAGGTCAAGATCGCAGCGAAGCCACATTGATAAAGAGGTTTAAAGGGGACGGCGTCAGGTACAAAGCCAAACTAATTGGAATCGACGAGGTTTCTGCCGCGAGAGGGGACAAGTTATGTCAAGACTCAATGATGAAACTCAAGGTGAGGCCTCGGCCAGTTTTTGGTTTCTGTGTATGAAATGTAAGATCATTTTGCTGGTAACATTCTGCAGCCCTACATGTAACGCATGGGAGCGCACGTGAATCTGCGCACCTGTAGAAGAGTGAGCCAAGCCTAGGACATGTGGCTGAGCCACCTTTTTTTACTGCTCCCCCTTAAGCTACAAAAACAATGCATGGGAGTGTTTTCAGCAAAAATTTATACCTATATCTTAATTGCAGCACTAAAAACAATAAATCAGATCAGGGGCGGACTGACCATTTGGAAACTCAGGCACTGCCCGAGGGCCCGGTGTCAGTAGGGGGCCCCATGAGATGCCCCTGGTACCTTTTTGATAGGCTTTTTTGAGTTTGGGCAAGGGCACAGGGGCCCCATGATCCCCTATTGCCCGGGGACCCCAGGAGTTGTCAGTCCGCCCCTGAATCAGATATAAATAGCAATGTAAAGTGACAAGTTATTATTATACAGGATTTATATAGCGCCAACTGTTTGCTCAGCGCTGTACATTATAGTGGGAGACAATACAGTTCAATACAAGAGGGATTTGAGGGCCCTGATCCTGGAAGCTTACAATCTAGGAGGGAGGGGTGAATGGTACAATAGGTAATAACTGTGGGGGATGGAGTGGTTGGAAGAGTAAAGGATTCCGGTATTAGCAGAGGGCAGGATAGGCTTCCCTGAAGAGAAAGGTTTTCAAAGATCGCCTAAAAGTAAGTAGAGTAGGAGATAGTCTGATAGATTGGGGTAGAGAGTTCCAGAGGATGAGTGATGCCCTGGAGAAGTCTTGAAGATGAGCAAGGGAGGAGGAGATAAGGGAGCTAGAGAGTAGGAGGTCTTGCGAGGAGCGGAAAGGATGGTGTGGGTGATATTTAGAGATACGATCGGTTATGTAAGTTGGGGCAGTGTTGTGGATGGCTTTATATGTCATTGTTAGAGTTTTGAATTTTATCCGTTGGGCAACTGGGAGCCAGTGGAGGGATTGGCAGAGAGGGGTGGAGGACACTGAGTGGAGGCCAGTGGAGGGATTGGCAGAGAGGGATGGAGGACATTGAGTGGAGGTTAGTGGAGGGATTGGCAGAGAGGGATGGAGGACACTGAGTGGAGGTCAGTGGAGGGATTGGCAGAGAGGGGTGGAGGACATTGAGTGGAGGTCAGTGGAGGGATTGGCAGAGAGGGGTGGAGGACACTGAGTGGAGGCCAGTGGAGGGATTGGCAGACAGGGGTGGAGGACACTGAGTGGAGGCCAGTGGAGGGATTGGCAGACAGGGGTGGAGGACACTGAGTGGAGGTCAGTGGAGGGATTGGCAGAGAGGGGTGGAGGACACTGAATGGAGGTCAGTGGAGGGATTGGCAGAGAGGGATGAAGGACACTGAGTGGAGGCCAGTGGAGGGATTGGCAGAAAGGGGTGGCGGACACTGAGTGGAGGCCAGTGGAGGGATTGGCAGAGAGGGGTGGAGGACACTGAGTGGAGATCAGTGGAGGGATTGGCAGAGAGGGATGGTGGAGGACACTGAGTGGATGTCAGTGGAGGGATTGGCAGAGAGGGGTGGAGGACACTGAGTGGAGGTCAGTGGAGGGATTGGCAGAGAGGGATGGAGGACACTGAGGTGGAGGTCAGTGGAGGGATTGGCAGAGAGGGATGGAGGACACTGACTGGAGGCCAGTGGAGGGATTGGCAGAGAGGGATGGTGGACACTGAGTGGAGGTCAGTGGAGGGATTGGCAGAGAGGGATGGAGGACACTGAGTAGAGGCCAGTGGAGGGATTGGCAGAGAGGGGTGGAGGACACTGAGTGGAGGTCAGTGGAGGGATTGGCAGAGAGGGATGGAGGACATTGAGTGGAGGTTAGTGGAGGGATTGGCAGAGAGGGATGGAGGACATTGAGTGGAGGTCAGTGGAGGGATTGGCAGAGAGGGGTGGAGGACACTGAGTGGAGGCCAGTGGAGGGATTGGCAGACAGGGGTGGAGGACACTGAGTGGAGGCCAGTGGAGGGATTGGCAGACAGGGGTGGAGGACACTGAGTGGAGGTCAGTGGAGGGATTGGCAGAGAGGGGTGGAGGACACTGAATGGAGGTCAGTGGAGGGATTGGCAGAGAGGGATGAAGGACACTGAGTGGAGGCCAGTGGAGGGATTGGCAGAAAGGGGTGGAGGACACTGAGTGGAGGCCAGTGGAGGGATTGGCAGAGAGGGGTGGAGGACACTGAGTGGAGATCAGTGGAGGGATTGGCAGAG